TCTCTCTCTCTGTCTCTCTCTCTGTCTCTCTCTCTGTCTCTCTCTCTATGTCTCTGTCTCTCTCTCTCTCTCTGTTTGTCTCTCTGTCTCTCTCTCTCTGTCCCTCTCTGTCTCTCTGTCTCTCTCTCTCTCTCCATGTCTCTCACCCAGCAGCAGGAACTTGTGGTCGTCTCCGTACAGCTGCAGCAGCTCAGAGCAGAAGCTTTGGATGTTTGATCCCAGTCTGTATTCTCTCAGTAACACAGCGAACTGCTGCAGCTCCACTGCACTCAGCTTGTTCCGCAGCTACACACACACACACACACACACACACACACACACACTTTATATTGATTTAATTAATTTACATATATTTTATTTTTGTATTGATAAAATATATAGATAGGTTATGTATTTATTTTATTAGATGATCAACACTCACTGTGATCATGTACTCGTGCATCAGCAGCAGGGCGGGGTTATTGTCTCCTGGGTCACTGGCTGAGGTCAGACTGCGATGAGACTCCTGCAGAGACACTGATGAACCCTCACTGTACGTCTCACTGTAGTACAGCTCAAATGCATCCTGGGAACCGTCGCTGTGGAGAGAGACAGAGGGAGAGAGACAGAGGGACAGAGAGAGAGAGAGACAGAGGGAGAGAGACAGAGGGAGGGAGAGAGAGAGAGACAGAGGGAGGGAGAGAGAGACAGAGGGAGAGAGACAGATAATCATTCGATTCAGATTGCTTCTATAGTAAATACATTCTTCTGATCAATTAATATTAAAACATTGAATCAATACAGAGACACGACATCTGAGAACCTCTGACCTTCGACCTCTAATCAATGAATCTGTGAGTTTAATTGAACATTTCTACAAACTTGGTAGATGGACAACCTGAAAACAGACTGTCTCCAGCCACTGGGTGGCGCCAGTGCAGTGCAATAAAAAAAAGTCAACCCATTGACCAAATGAAGAAAAACATATCGGCCGATGAGTAAATCAAATCTGAACTTTTATGATGAACATTAATGTTTCAGATAAAACTCACATTTGTTTGATCAAATGATTTGTGTTTGATTTATGTCACTAATGTTCAACCGGATTCCTTTTTGTAAAACCTTGTGTCTCGTTGTTTCTAGAAACGAGTTGATGTGTAAACTCTCTGTGAACTGGATCTAGATATCGATGACACAGTTGTTGAACATGAACTGTGATAAACTACGAACACATTGTGTGGAGAACATGTGAAGTTGTGTGTTTGTGACTCACTACGAGCTGCAGCAGCTGAACTCTGGATCATAACTGAACGAACTGTCGCTCAAACAACTGTCACCTGCACAAAAACACACAGACACACACTTTAATACACAACCCACACAGTGAAGCAGTAAATAAACACTACACCCCCCTGGTGGCTGGCTGCAGTACAGCTCAAACCCATATTTAAATTGTTATTTTAAAACAGGTCACTTTAGGTTGAAAACAGGAAATTAAACATTTTAAAACTTAATTCACTGACATCTTGAAAATGAAGCCACAATAAAGAATCAGCTGGAAACATTTGACCGACATCAATGAGCTGAAACACATTTTCAGATTTTAAAATAAAACTATTTTTCATCCACCATGTTTCACTCACTCCTCTGCAGCCAATAGCGGTCCGGCATGGTGTGGTGAAACCCCGCCCTGTCCACACACTCGATGGTCTGATGGCCATAAATGATCTGGAACATCTGACAAATCAGAGAACAGTATTCCTCTGCAGCGTCCTGCACACACACACACACACACACACACACACACACACACACACACAAACACAGGTTAGCCTAGCTTAGCATGAAGACTAAAACTGAAATGTCTTTTTACAGTCTGAGCAGAATGAGGCTAATTTTCCCTCATGTTCCCAGTCTTAATGCTAAGCTAGGCTAAATGCAGACAGGTTGTGGACTGTACACCACACACACACACACACACACAGCAACACAATAGGCTGCAGTTTGCCTCTCACTGTTCAGGGAGGAGCTGAGGATCGAACCACCGACCTGGTGTGTTCGGTGGACGTACCGATGAGGTACTGATCCTCTCATCTGACTTTAAGAGACTCAAACATGGTCCTGAAGTTAAACTGCTTCTCTTCATAATGGGAATCAAACATTCTGTGTCTGGGCCTCCTGACAGATCGGGGGGGGGGGACGCACCCTGTTGTCCACAGCCAGGATGACCAGGTTGCAGTAGGCGTCCGGACAGGGCGTGGGCTCCAGCGGGTTGTGGTTCCTCCTCTCCCAGCTGCCGTAGCTCTTCCCCCGCTCCCAGCTTCCTGTGCAGGCCTGCCGTCGCTCCCAGCTTCCTCCTCCTCCTCCTCCTCTCCTCTCCCAGCTCCCCCCTCCTCCATGCCTTTTCTCCCAGCTCCCCCCTCCTCCCCCCCCCACCCCCCAGCTCCCGCTCACAGGCCTCGCCCTGCGGTTTTCCCAGCTGCCTCCAGGTTTACGTGTTTGCTGCCTCCTTTCCCAGCTGCCTCCGACCCTCTTCCTCTCCAGACTCCCTCCTCCTCCTCTCTCCCCCCCTCCACCCCCTCGGTCCACGCTCAGGTTTTTCTCGTGGTTACTTCTGGACAGTGACGGCCTCCAGTCCACTCCACAGATGGTGTGTCGCCGCTCCATTGTGCCCCCGGCTGGCCGCGGGTCGGCATTGCAGCTCATTGTTTGGCGTCGCCCGTCGATGGCTGTCGGCTTTTTTCTGTCCAGGCTATCGTCCCCGGCAACCACAGTGTCCACGTTCAGACCTGTGGGACGAGGGTTTAAAATAATGTCATTGGATTTTCAGTAGTAGAAGAGACTCTTCTTCTAAATATGATGCTTTAACTGTAGTAACAGCGCCCCCTGTGGCCACTCGTGTTTACAGCGATGTCCCATGAAGTCGACAAAGCAGGAGAAATCTTCTCTGCTGTTGAAATATGTCAGAAATGTTGTAAATGTGCTGATTCAACTTCAGAAAGTTAGATGAGAGGATTAATGTCAGTCTGATGTGTGAACATTCAATCTGAAACCAGCTCAATATAACCTGCGTGTTTACTTTACCGCTCTTCAGAACCAGCTCTTCCTCCATTTGTAATTTCAATGCTAAGCTAGCTAGCCAACTGACGAACCTCTTTTCAGTAACAACACAAGTTCAATTCCTCATCCAGAAAGAAAATGAAAGTGACCACCACAGCATGTGAGAGTCACGTGACTGAAATTAGTAAAAGACGACAGCTGCGTCCTCTTCAATAACAAAAGTCTGACCCAGTCAACCAAAGACACACAAAAAAGTGTCCCTTTAACATGACTCAATGCTTGATGCTCATTGGTCAGAAACCTGAAGACGCCCTTGTGTCCTCACCTGTCTTGAGGACCAGCAGGTGCAGTGCGTCGTCTCTCAGGTAGGAGGCAGCAGCGATCTCATGAGTGGGAACCCTCATCAGCAGCTTCTCGTTGTCTCTCCACGTCAGCAGCAGACAACGAGCGGACAGACTCAGGATACAGTCCTGATCCACACTGGTCCTCAACGGCAAAACCTTCAGCTGCTACTGACAAACACACCACAGCTGACCTGATTATTGAAGGATCGATGCTGACGAAGGCAGAAAGAAAACGTGTAACACTGACGCTCATCAGAAACAAGTGATTGTTCAGCTGCAACATGACACTTCACCACTAGATGTCACTAGTCAAGTCCCCGGTGCAAACAGCATTAAACATGAAATATAAACAATATAAGTAATTAAAAAATATAAACAGTCAGTGGTAAATCTAGACGATATAAAGAGTATAGATTCTACACACAGTAACTTTATGTGGTAATGTGTTAAACCTAACAAAGGTTATTAGTTCTAAACTGCTAATTGATAAACCCAACAATGATTTGTTATTGATTTGCCTTGGCTTTGGTTGTGCATCAATAACTTCAAGAGTTCTTCAGAATAGATATGTTATTGATTACTAATGTTATTGTGGAGTTTTGTTAGATTGGGTTCAGGTTAACTGGATGGATGATGATGTCAGTAATAAAGAATAGCTTTCACTAACCCTGGCTGTATCCAGTAGTTGTAAGAGTTCATCTCGACTGGAGGGATTCAGTGTGACCGACACCCAGGTCAGGTGACCAAGGAACTAAGAAGAGAGGTCAGAGTTCAAGCAGCTGAGAACGTGAGGTCAGCAGATTTATTGTTGCGTTCTCTACCTTGACCTCCTTCTCCACGTAGTCGAAGATCAGTCTCTCAGGGTGGATGACGTAGTCGGGGGGATAGAGGGGGACGGTGTGTAGCGGGCGGCGGTAAACGCTGCCTCGATCTACAGACCTGCGACCAGACTTGGACCAAACCAACCGCTTAATGGGGGAGACAAAACCCTGCAGGGGCAGAAACAACAGAATAAACTCTACTCTAACTAGATTTGTCTCTGTGTGTCTGTCTGTGTGTGTCTGTCTGTGTCTGTGTCTGTGTGTGTCTGTCTGTCTGTGTCTGTGTGTGTGTGTCTGTCTGTGTGTGTGTCTGTGTGTGTGTCTGTCTGTGTCTGTGTGTGTGTCTGTGTGTGTCTGTCTRTGTGTGTGTSTSTGTGTGTCTGTCTGTGTCTGTGTGTGTGTCTGTCTGTCTGTGTGTCTGTCTGTGTCTGTCTGTCTGTGTCTGTGTGTGTCTGTCTGTGTCTGTCTGTCTGTGTGTGTGTGTGTCTGTGATTCTGTCAGTGTGTGTTCATCCTGACTCAGCTGAGTTTATCTCCTGATAATGAATGAATTGAGCTGAGCATCAAAGGTCAAAGGTCAAATTCTACTAAATTATGACACTGTACCTTTTTGGATTTCTTTGGTTCATAGTCCATCGTGCTTCAGTTCTCCTCAGACCTGGTCCTGTAGTGGTTCAGTCCTGTAGTGGTTCAGTCCTGGTCCTGAAGTGGTTTAGTCCTGGTCCTGTAGTGGTTCAGTCCTGGTCCTGAAGTGGTTCAGTCCTG